AGTAGATTCCCAGTAAGTATTTATTGACTAAACAAATGCATGGGAGAATCACTATACATAAGACTTTGGAGCCAGTTCTAGCATTTCCAATATGAACATCAAGGTATTGCCCAAAATAGACAAGTCTTCTGGGGGCATCCAGGGCAACCTCATCATTGCACGAATGGGCAGTGGAAGCTCAAGAGGAAGAAGGTGTTTGCTCCAGTCACAGTCAGTGTCTGGGAGAAGCAGGGCCAGGAGCCAGGACTTCCCATCTGTGATCATCCTTGCCAACACACCAGTCTATCACTTCTGTCATGCACCCACATGAATGACCTCAGTCCAGGCAGGCAATGCTGCAGGCAGGGTGGGGGAAGACAGCAAACCAGACTCCTGGCACCCAGCCTATGCTGGAAGAGGCAAAAAAGCCCCTGCTCGGAGGCTGCACAGAGGCTTTCTGTGTCGTGTAGCTCAAGCTGGACCACACCAAGGCAGCCTCTCTATCCTGGTCCTCTGACGCTGGGCACCCTCATTCTTGGTTAGGGTGAATCCCTCTTTTATGCATCAAGTCCACCTTTGCTGTAGGGAAAAGAAAGAGAGATCAGACTGTTACTGTGTCTATGTAGAAAAGGAAGACATAAGAAACTCCATTTTGACCTGTACCCTGAACCATTGCTTTGCTCTGAGATGCTGTTAATCTGTAACTTTGCCCCAACCGTGAGCTCACAAGAACATGTGTTGTATGGAATCAAGGTTTAAGGGATCTAGGGCTGTGCAGGATGTGCCTTGTTAACAAAATGTTTATAGGCAGTATGCTTGGTAAAAGTCATCGCCCTTCTCCAGTCTTGATAAACCAGGGGCACAATGCACTGAGGAAATCTGCAGAGACCTCTGCCCTGGAAAGCCGAGTATTGTCCAAGGTTTCTCCCCATGTGATAGTCTGAAATATGGCCTCGTGGGATGGGAAAGACCTGAGCGTTCCCCCCCCCAACACCCGTGAAGGGTCTGTGCTGAGGAGGATTAGTAAAAGAGAAAAGCCTCTTGCAGTTGAGATAGAGGAAGGCCAGTTTCCTGCCTGCCCCTGGGAACTGAATGTCTCGGTATAAAATCCGTGTACATTTGTTCAACTCTGAGATAGGAGAAAAACTGCTCTGCGGTGGGAGGCGAGACATGGTGGCAGCAATGCTGCTCTGTTATTCTTTACTCCACTGATGTTTGGGTGAGAGAAGCATAAATCTGGCCTACGTGCACATCCAGGCATAGTACCTTCCTTGAACTTATTTGTGACACAGACTCCTTTGCTCACATGTTTTCTTGCTGACCTTCTCCCCACTATCACCCTCCTCTCCCACCGCATTCCTCTTGCTGAGATCGTGAAAATGGTAATCAATAAATACTGAGGGAACTCAGAGACCGGTGCCAGTGCAGGTCCTTCGTATACTGAGTGCCAGTCCCCTGGGCCCACTTTTCTTTCTCTATACTTTATCTCTGTGTTTTATTTTTTTTCTCAGTCTCTCGTCCCACCTGATGAGAAAAGCCCACAGGTGTGGAGGGGCTGGTCCCCTTCATTTGCATGGGCATTTCCCAGGCTAAAGGCTCCAGAGGACTGCGCAGCAGAGGTTTTGGAGAGGAGAACCATAAAACCCACTGTCTCAGCCTCCCGGGGAGGCTGGCTGTGACCCCTGCCAGGGCCACTGGCACCTCTAGTCACCCTTACCCACTCCACTTAATCCTCTCTCTCCTTTCCTCTCCTTCCTCCTCTCCTCTCCTTGTCTCTCCTCTGCCTCCCTTTCCTTTTTAACGGAGTCTTGTTCTGGGGTGCAGTGCTGCCATCTCGCTCGCTCACTACAACCTCAGCCTCCCAGGTTCAAGTGATTCTCCTGCCTCGGCCTCCCAAGTAGCCTGGGATTATAGGTTCACGCCACCCGACGGCCTGGCTAATTTTTGTATTTTTAGTAAAGACGGAGTTTCCCCATATTGGCCAGGTGTGTATGTCCTTGTTTCTTGATCACACCTATTGTTAATTGCCTGCCTCTCCCGAGTAACCTGAGACCTCTGCAAGGGCAAGGATCTTTCTATATTTTATTCACAAGCCCCTAAAAGCCCCTCTCTGTCCCCACACAGAGAGGACACTCAGTGAATATTTGTTGAATGGATGGATGGATGAACTGATGGGACAAATAAAAGCCACAAGTGCTCAGGGGATTTGTATTTGCTCCTATCTCTGTGGCTGTCTCGCTGTGGGACCTTGTGCAAGTGATGTGATCTTCCTGAGCCTCAGTTTTCTCATCAGTAAAATGGGACGGTCACACCAACTGGAAGGCTTGTGGGCCAGTGAGATGGGGAAAGCACTCATGTCATGCCAGATTTTCGTAGGCATCTAGGAAGTGCTGGTTATGTCAAAATGAAAATCCACTCATTCATTCACTCATTTATTCACAAGGTCGGTCGGCCCACAAATACGTGACCTGAGAAGGCTTCTGAGAAGAAGTAGTGGTTGACCTTCCCTGAAAGACTGAGTAACACGCTGGAGGGAAGTGGTGGGAGTGGGAGAGGATGAGGAGCAAGGAGAGCATCCAGGAAAGTTGGAAGATGTAGGGAGATGGCACACGGACCTACAAGAAGGAGCAGGCACGGCCACATCCCAGTCACTGCCAGGCTAAGGCATGTGACTCCCCTCCCAGAGGAGAGGGGAGCTTTGGAGGGGGCTGACCGTGTCTGGACAAGGGTGATTGGCAGGGCAGTTTTTCTTTCCAGCAAGTACGTGTTGGGTGTGTGCTCTGTGGCATGTACCGGCCTGGGCATGGGGGATACAAGGACACCTAGTCTGCAGGCAGAGGGACACACAACACATGGACTTGCCTGAGTCTCTCTCAAACTGCACACCTGCTGCAGCCCACCATAGTTCTTCAGTTAAAGACCAGCATCCCTCTGTGGCCCACGATTTCTCACCTACCTCTCAGCCCCGCTCCCACCCCTTCTTGCTTACTCATCTCATTTCAGCTCCTCACCCATGCCACTCCCGACCTCAGGGCCTTTGCACACGCTGTTCCCGCTGCTTGGTGGGGTCTCCCTGGGCTCCCACCCTCATTACTTCCTCTTTTTTTCTTTTTCAAAATAGAATTTATTTTTACAGTGAATAATACAAATGTGGCTATGAAAGCAGAATATATTTAAAAATATTTAAGGTATGCAACTGTCATTTTAAAAACAGAATTAGTTAAAAGGAAGATGAATAAAGAACTCGAGCTTACGCCTGATTTCTATTGGTTTACTTAGAAATACCAATCAGTATCTAACATATTATTAACTATGCTGGGAAAAACACTTCTATATGCAGTTTTAATTCCTAACTACAGTTTAAAAACAGATGAGTTCCCAGCATTTGGAGCTCTCCCTAAATGTTACATCCCGAGGAAGCCTTTCTTGGGCCACCGGACTGGATGTGACCCTTCTGTGACATGCGACCCCCGGACTGGACACGATCCTTCTGTGACACGTGACCGTCCGACTGGATGCAATCCTTCTGTGACATCCTTTGCAAGCTCTGCAACATCTCCTTCATTGTGCCCACTGCAGCTCATGACAAATGTGTGTTTATTGTATTCATGATGGCTTCCCTCACTGATTATTAGCCCCAGGAAGGCAGGAATCGGTCTACATATATCAACAATGAGCTCAGAGATTGCAGCCCGGAAGTCATCATTTAATGGAGGATTGACTGCAGCCCATGGGGGCTGGAGGGAACATTCAGACCCACTCGCCATCGTCATGCATGGAGGTGAGGGTTTTGGAAGGCTGCTTGGAAGAGGCTGCTTGGAATATGTTGGAAAGGTAGAGAAGAGTTCACAAAGAGGTCCTAATGGCCTGGGTATTAAAGGGTGAGTAGGAGTTTGTTAGGCTGGAGGAGGGAATTCCCATTAGAGGAGACGGTGGAAGCAAATGCCTGGGGCAGAGTTTTGGGAAACAGCTGGTCATCGCAGACACTGGAGGGGGGCTGGTGGAGGACCGCAGCAGGCGCTCTCTACTGCAAACCCACGTGCCAGGCACGATGGCCATACAACCTCATGTGATCCTCAGAGGTAGGTAGGTAGATAGAGGGTATTAGACTCCAGCTTAGCCGCTGAGGTAGATATTATGATCCTCTCTCAATAAATGAAGCAGCTAAGGCTCAGAAAGGTTTAGTGACATGCCCAGGTCACCTGGCCACTCAGTGGCTTGCCTGGCTGTGTCACGTCCCCAGTGTCATATGTTGTGCACCTGACACCGTAGCTGAGGGTTTCTGGGTCTTTCCATACCCACCCTTCAGGTTGGGGCAGGGGAAATTATATCGGCAAAGGGCTCAGCTGAGATTCCCAGCCTTTTTCCCAGGTCTGTGTCCCTGTGCGGGGTCTCAACCTTCTCCCTCACCCCCACCCTCTGGAAAAGGGGCTGCGCACTCTGGGCTCCGGGGCTCAGCCTTCACCACCGTCCACCAGCCCCGGCCCCCTACCAGGCAGCCTTCTCCACCAGCCTCTGGGGACTCCTCCCTTCCTGCCCCAAACCAGAAGATGGGGCGCTTGCTGCATGTAGCTAACCCTGAGGCCACGAGGAAGCCACTTCACTTCTCTGAGCCTCAGTTTCCACGTCTGTCATAGGGACGCCCACTCTGGCTGCTCTGAGAGCACTTGTGACCAGAACACAAAGGACACTTTGAGCTGCAAACTGCTAAACAGGCCCGGGAAATGATAAGTAGTCACAGCCGAGGCTTCTCAGTGCTAAGCCAGCAAGTGTCCTCTCCTCTCCAAACACCGGAAGCCCTGGGAATTCCCTGCAGGAGAAGAAGGAACCAGATTCCTGAAACGAGCTTGCCCCAGGCCGGGGACCTGTGCACGGCCCTGCGAGTACCTGGTGCCCTCTAGTGGCCACAGGCGGCCCTGCAGGGCCGCATTTTCTGGAGCCACTCACTCTTCAATTGAACTTGCTAACAGGTTTAAACCGCAGGATCTACCTTTGACAACAAGATAAGGAAGGGACAGGGGAGGGAGGGTGCCAGGACGTTCTTTTTGTGCCTGAAATGGATAAAGCTGGCGGCAAATTCTAGCTGCTACTCTAGACTTCGTCCTTCTAATGTTGCCCGAGGGGCTGGACTGGTCCTGTCCCTGTTTCCCCATCCACCTGGATGCTGGCTAAGCCCAGAGCTCCCACGTGGACACACTGGGACAGATAATTGGCCGAGGGCTCACAGAGGCGGGAACAACTTTTTTAAAGCACTGAACTAGCTTCCTCGGAGCCCCAAAGGGAGTGGCAGGACCTTCACTTCAGAAATAAGAAGACAGACCCAGAGAGGGTCTATGGCTTTCCCAAAGATACCTCATTCTAGGATTTGAACCCAGTCTCTCCCTCCAGTCTCCAGGTACTTGCGGTGGCCCATACCTTCCCCAAATTATCCACCAATAGCCAGTTAACCTGGGGCAGGGCTGTGGGGAGAAACGTTTGTTTATTAAATCACAGAGTCCCTCTGCCTGCTGGAGGGGAGAGGAGAATGCCACCGAGTGGGTGGGGCATCGAATCCCAGCATTGGAATGGGCAGGGAGGGAACGGGGCACAGGACTTCCTAGAACTTGCAATTTTGCTCTTTCGGGCAGTCTAGGGAGATGGTGACAGGGAGGGGCTGAGCTGAACTGTGCCTGTCACTTCCATCTCGGGAAGACGGAACATGTTCAACCCCAAGCCATGTTCGGGGTCTGCGGCAAGCAGGAATTCTCCTTTATTTTCCAATAGGGTTAACAATCTTTCCCAGGAAGAGCACGGAAGGTATTTTCTGGCTGTAAATCAGCAGCAGATAGGGTCTGTCTATCTTGACGACGAGTGGTGTCTCCATGGGCAGAGTCTGTGCTCCGGTGCCAGCGGCCCCCTCCGTACCCCTCTCATCCATCTTCAGCTCAGCCTTGTGCACAGCCTGTGGAAGCCAAGGGCAAAGTCAGGGACTGCCAAGCTGCTCAGCGACCATGGTGGCCGGAGGCCCAGAGAGGATCAGAGAGGGAGACAACTTGGTCCAAGCTGTCCAGCACAGCAGTAACTTGGTTTACTCCAGGGTTTCTGGCTCTTTTGCCATTAATGCTGGAGAATATTCGACAAGCAGATGCCGCGTGAAGGAAAAGATGGTGCAGGGAGAGCATCAGTTACGGGGGTCGATGTGGGGAGAGATGGAGTGGGGTTTGCTTCTCTTTCTCATGGGTTACAGGGAAGCATCAACCACAGCCATGGCAGAAAAGGTCTACTGGGCTGTAGCTGGGTGAAAGTGAGGTGGTGGTATCCCCACCCTGAAGCCTCCAGCACCTCCTTTCATCCACCTGGTGGATGGTTAAGAGGGAGGAAGATTCTGGATTAGCTCTGAGATGACTTGCATCCCAAATCCACTCCAAAGGTATCAACATCTGTAAACAGGTGATCAGTACTGGGAAGCTGATGGGTATGTGTGAAATCCTTGCACATTTCTTTCTAGTCTGCAAAATTCTCACAATTTTCCTTGCAGAAAACAGGACAGTATCCTGTGTTAGAATCACAGCTATCAGCAAACGTAACTACAGAACGAAACAAGCCATTAAACTCAACAAGACCTTCAGAGCTGGTGTTGAATGTTTGTGGGAAGTCTGTGGCAGGAAAGCTCAAAAGTGAGAAAATTCTAGTAACTGTGTTCCTTATGTCAACGTGAAAAATACAGTGGAATCTGTGCCATCTGATTCAGAGCAGCAGGCTCAGCTTGGCAAGCTGGATCCTTCCCAGACTGGCTTGAACCTCCCACTTCATCTCCATTAAGCACCTAACCCCCACCACCCACTACTCCATGATATCCAAAAACCCCCAGCCTTGGCCACACTGCTGCACCCATTCCCGCACCCATCTCTGCTCGTTGAAATCTTTCCCCTCCTTCAATGCCTTTTTAACCCCAAAGTAGGGTTGCCAGGTGAAATACAGGACATCCAGTGAAATTTGAATTCAAGATAAACAATGAATATATTTTAGTGTAAGTATGTCCCGTGCAATATTTCAGAACATACTGCGCACTAAAAAAATTATTCACATTATCATAAAATCATTTTTATTTTTTTTTTTTTTTGGAGAGCGGAGTGTCGCTCGTGTCATCCAGGCTGGAGTGCAGTGGACCGGATCTCAGCTCACTGCAAGGTCAGCCGTCCTGGTTTACGCCTTTCTGCCTCAGCCTCCCGAGTAGCTGGGATATAGCGCCCGCCCACACCTCGCCCGGGTAGTTTTTGTTATTTTTTACTGTAGAGACGGGTTCACTGGTGTTAGGCAGGATGGGTTCTCGATCTCTTGATTCGTGATCGCCCGTCTCGGCCTCCCAAAGTCTAGGGTTAAGGGTTGAGCACCGGCACCCAGGTCCTAAAATTTCAAATTTAACTGACCGACGAACCAAATCCCACAGGTACCCTGTATGAAATTTGCTAAATTTGGGACCTATTTATATGCTGCTCTCTTTTGGCCCAAGGCAATCAAGCGTGTCACTTTGCAGAGGCCACAGGCCCTTTGCTTGGTCAATATTTCCTATGAAAGCAAATGCTTACGCAATTCATACAAAACGTGTGGGCCTTGGGCGCATTGTGGCTCACGGCCTGTAATCCCAGCACTTTTGGGAGGCAAGATGGGTGGATGACCTGAGGTCAGGAGTTTGAGACCAACCTGGCCAACATGATGAAACCCCGTCTCTACTAAAAATACAAAAAAAAATTAATTGGGCATGGGGCAGGCACCTGTAATCCCAGCTACTCAGGAGGCTGAGGCAGGACAGTTGCTTGAACCTGGGAGGTGGAGGTTGCAGTGAGCCAAGATGTACCATTGCACTCCAGCTTGGGCAACAGAGCAAGACTCCGTCAAAAAAAAAAAAGAAAGAAGAAAGAAAGAAAGAGAGAAAGAGGGGAAGAAAGAGAGAAAGAAAGAGAAAGAAAGAAGGAAGGAAGGAAGGAAGGAAGGAAGGAAGGAAGGAA